AGCCTCGGCAGCGTGCCACGCGCCGCGCTCCATCAGGTCGAACACCTCCGCCATGCCGAAGACCAGGAATGCCGACGACCTCGCCTGCCCGCATGGGACGTTCCGCGCGAAGTAATTCCGCGTGGTGTCGCTCGTGCCCTCCTCGCTCGCAGCCCCCGCCATGTCGAGCTGGCGGTTCCGCCTCACCAAGGCGGAGATGGCCTGGGGGGCGCCGTGGACCTGGCGGCGGAACAGCCCGAGCGCCGCGGCGCCGCGCGCGCCGCCAAGCCTCATGCCAGTGCTCTCGCCAAGCCCGTCGTCGCGCCCGCCGTCCGCCAGGAGCGACAGCGCGTCTGGCTGGCGCCCGCTGCTCTGAGCCAGGGCCCCCAGCAGTGACGTCTGCTGGGACAGGAGGGCCATCAGCTGCTCCTCGCGGCCGCTGGAGGCTGCGGGGGCGCCCTGGAGCGGGGGCCCCGCGGTCTGGCCCGCCGTCGGAGGGGCTGGGCCGCGCGGGGGCTGGGACGGCGGGCCCGCCACCGAAGGGGGCTCCGAGACGCCCGCTGCCGCCTGGCCCGAAGGGGACCTCGGCAGGAAAGGGTTCGGCGCTCCTCCTCGGCGAGGCAGAGGTGGTCCGGCGGCCACGGCCGCGGCGCGAGCGGCGGGCAGGCCCAGGGGGGTCAGCACCCCACCCCGTGCGCCGCGGACGGAGGCCCGGCAGGGGGAGGAGGGCCCAGGAGGCCCCATCCCGGGGCCACGCCTGGCGGCGGGCCGACCGCCTGCTGCGGGAGGAAGCCGAACTGGGCAGCCGCCTTCCGAGTCGGGCCGCCGCCAGCCTCCAGGGCTGTGACCCTCGCCCGGAGCACGTTCTGCCCCGCCAGGATCTGCTCCAGGACCTGCTGCTGCTGCTGCTGCTGCTGCTGCTGCTGCTGCTGCGGCGAGGCCTTCCTCCTGGAGGGGGCCTTGCGAGTTGCCGATTTCGGCTGCCCTCGGACCGCCGTCTCCGCCTGCAGGACCTCCCGCTGACGCTTCAGCTCCACGACCTCGGCTGCCAACCTCCTCGCGTCCTCGAACGCGTTGGCCCGCTGCTGCTCGGCGAGCTCGTTCGGCGGCGTCGCGGCGACTGGGGCGAGCGGGGAGACCTCCCCGGAGTGCCACGCGGCGAACCCAGCCCCGCCAGCCGCTAGCTGCGGCCCGGGCACCAGAGGGGGGCGCAACGCGGGCCCCAGCACAGGCGGAGCGCTCGCCGCCAGCTCGGGCTCGCCCGCGCCCTGCAGGGAGTCCAGGGTGGCCAGCATCTCGGCTGGGACCGCGCCCACGGCGGCCTCGGGCTCGGGCCCCCAGCCGTCGTCGTGGAAGGCGTAGACCTCGCCTTCGGACAGGGGCGCAGCCGCGAAGCGCCGCACCAGGGCGCTCGGGGTCTCCATGATCTCGGCCGACAGCAGCTGACCGTCCAGGGGCGTCCCGACGCGATCCCAGGCCGGCAGCAGCATCACCTCGTAGGCCGTGTCGAGCCTGCCAGACGGCACCACCGCCACGGTGGACAGGGTGTCGGCACGCACCCGCAGCGCCGCCACAGTGAACTCGTAATCCGAGTCGACGCTGTCTTTCAACGTGAGGAATCCGAACTCCCCAGCCACTCCCCCAGCACTGGGGGCTGGCAGCAAGTCGGTGGCAGACACGTACTGCGGCGTGGCCTGCTCGAACCATGCTCCTGGGTCGTCGACCTCCCCCTCGCCCGTGTCGAAGACGTCTTCCTCGAGAGCCATCCTCACCAGCGGTGGACGGGCGGAGGCAGCGGAGCGCCGTGGCGGTTGGCCTCGGCGAGGTAGTCCGAGACCGCCTCGTCCTCCGAGGCGAAGCGGCGGAGGCGGTCGCCGCGGAAGTAGCGGTAGCCGCCGATCCGCTCGGCGATGGCGTCCCAGGCTCGCCCGGCGCCACAGTGGACCCCCACGAGGTCCGGAGCCGCCGGGCTCGCCCAGACCGCGTAGGCCCAGGCCTCGACGCGCGCCGCCCGGAGCGCGCGCGCCAGAGCCGCAGGGAGCGAGCAGGGCGCTGGCTCCTCAGGCTCCGTCTGCGTGCCCACGTCGCGGGTCGCAGGGCCCGCGCCAGGGGCCGGGCTGGCCGGCCCGCCGCCGGCCCCGTAAGGGGTCACGTGCACGTTGACAGTCTGCACCGCAGGCGCGGCAGCCGAGCCGCCCAGGGAGGCTGCCGCCTCGGCCAGGGGGGCAGCTCGCGCCCGCTGGCCGCACGAGGACGCCGCCGCCGCCAGGAGCGCAGCGAGCATCCGCGGGAGGAGGCGAGGGAGAGACGGGCGCGCAGCGGCGCCCGGCGAATGAGAGCTTGAAGCCAGAGCCCACGCGCGTCGAGGAATCACTGCAATCATATATATATATACATACATACATACATACATACATACATACATACATACATACATACATACATACATACATACATACATACATACATACATACATACATACATACATACATACATACATACATACATGCATGCATACATACATACATACATACATACATACATACATACATACATACATACATACATACATACACACACACTAGGCATAGACCCTGGACAGGCGACCCTCCCAAACGAATTTCGGGCCTGGACCTGCTGGGCGCCGCTGCAGGGCGTCTCCCCGGGTTGTTTCCAGACCTCCCGGACGTCCCTGGCAGACCACGAGAAGACAGTCATCTTCGGCGAGCCCGGGCGGGAGGTGAGAATGAGAAGGCTCGGACGTCTAAAAAAATGTCAAGCCTCCTAAAAAATTGTCTAAGCCTTCCCCGAAAACACCAAAAACTTGTCAGACGGCTAGGAGGGTTTCTGAGAGGTCCCGCCGCATCCTGAAAAGGCCTTTTCCTTCTCACTTCTCCCCCTGGCTCGCCGCTGAAGCCAAAAAACCCAGAGGGGTCGGGAGGGCACCCGAGAGGCCTCACAGGAACCCAAATGGCTTCTGAAGTCCCTAGCACGCCCCAAAGACGACCCACATAAGACTCCCAAGAAGGAACCCAAACGCCAAAAAACATAGATTCGGTGCTTATGTTTCGTCTTCATATCTGCTTCACTGTAATCCTATATGAATAAGTTTAGCACCATCACGCGATTCAGTCTTAGTAGTATTATCATATGTCATCTTACTATGTAAATTCTCCCCATTATTAATATAATTCCCAACCATCCTGTGGTGTTGGGTTCTCGTTTTGAAAGGACGGTCCCCGCGTCCTCCTCTCCTCTCCTCTCCTCCTCCTCCTCCCCCTCCTCCCTCCTCCCCCTCTTCCCTGCGTTTCACCCACCCAGCACAGCGCTTCGTAGCCCCATAGGAGCTCCGCCGAAGGCCCCAGTGCTGCCGCCCGCATGCGTCACGCACACCCAATTCGGCACACCCCTAACACGCTTCGTGGCCCCATAGGAGCTCCGCCAAAGGCCCCAGTGCTGCCGCCCGCATGCGTCACGCACACCCAATTCGGCACACCCCTCACACGCTTCGTGGCCCCATAGGGAGCCCCGCCGAAGGCCCCAGTGCTGCCGCCCGCATACGTCACGCACACCCAACTCGGCACACCCCTCACACGTTTCGTGCATAGGGAGCTCCGCCGAAGGCCCCAGTGCTGCCGCCCGCATGCGTCACGCACACCCAACTCGGCACACCCCTCACACGTTTCGTGGCCCCATAGGGAGCTCCGCCGAAGGCCCTGGTGCTGCCGCCAGCATGCGTCACGCACAACCCAATTCGGCACACCCCTCACACGTTTCGTGCCCCAGCTCCGCCGAAATAGACAGCAGGCCGAAGGCCCAGTGCTGCCGCCCGCATGCGGCACACACCCTCGGCACACCCCTCACACGCTTCGTGGCCCCATAGGGAGCTCCGCCGAAGGCCCCAGTGCTGCCGCCCGCATGCGTCACGCACACCCAATTCGGCACACCCCTCACACGTTTCGTGGCCCCATAGGTGCTCCGCCGAAGGCCCCAGTGCTGCCGCCCGCATGCGTCACGCACACCCATTCGGCACACCCCTCACACGTTTCGTGGCCCCATAGGGAGCTCCGCCGAAGGTCCCAGTGGGTGTGCCCGCATGCGTCACGCACACCCATTTCGGCACACGTTTCGTGGCCCCATAGGGAGCTCACACGTGCCCGCATTCGTGGCACACCCCCATAGGGAGCTCCACCGAAGGCCCCAGTGCTGCCGCCCGCATGCGTCCCGCACACCAATTTCGGCACACCCCTCACGCGTTTCGTGGCCCCGTAGGGAGCTCCGCCGAAGGTCCCAGTTGGTGTGCCCGCATGCGTCCCGCACACCCATTTCGGCATACCCTTCACACGCTTCGTGGCCCCATAGGGAGCTCCACCGAAGGCCCCAGTGGGTCTGCCCGCATGCGTCCCCACTCCATTTCGGTACACCCCTCACGCGGTTCGTGACCCCTCACACGTTTCGTGGTCCCATAGGGAGCTCCACCGAAGGCCGCAGTGGGTGTGCCCGCATGCGTCCCGCACACCCATTTCGGCACACCCCTCACACGTTTCGGGGCCCCATAGGGAGCTCCACCGAAGGCCCCAGTGCTGCCGCCCGCATGCGTCCCGCACACCCATTTCGGCATACCCTTCACACGCTTCGTGGCCCCATAGGGAGCTCTGCCGAAGGCCCCAATGCTGCCGCCCGCATGCGTCCCGCACACCCATGTCGGCACACCCCTCTCGCGTTTCGTAGCCCTTCACGCGTTTCGTGGCCCCATAGGGAGCTCCGCCGAAGGCCCCAGTGGGTGTGCCCGCATGCGTCCCGCACACCCATTTCGGCACACCCCTCACACGCTTCGTGGCCCCATAGGGAGCTCCACCGAAGGTCCCAGTGGGTGTGCCCGCATGCGTCCCGCACACCAATTTCGGCACACCCCTCATACGTTTCGTGGCCCCATAGGGAGCGCCACCGAAGAAGATATTCACAATTGCGGTACTCACAATTGCATATGGTTGGGTCCTTCGCCAGGATAATAATGTTT